AGTGGTATCCAATAAGAGGGACTGAGAGACGCTTCGGCAGTTTTCGACGATACGGAACATCCTCGAAGTTCAGCAGTAACTGAGAGCTTCAGGTTAGAAAGCACAACCAGGTGTGATCTCGAAATACATTCCGCGCTCATCAGGTGGGCGGTGCCAGGCATGCCATTGTTCCTTCGTAATTGGTGGGTCCCTCGTTCTGAGACGATGAATACGAGCCCGCCACAAAGTACAGTCATTGGTTTGGCTCGGCCCATACGATCAGAGGTTACTGCGGACTGTGACTTTAGAAAAAAGTTACCGAGCTACTAGCTGGGGTTCCAGCTTTTCATTATTGTGCGAAAGCTAGTGTGATTGGTCCTATCGCATTAGTGAAAACCATACGGTTCAGACGGATTCCATGACTGTCGTGTGGGCGGAACCCGCCCTACATCATACTGCTGCCCGCTGGTGCGCTAACTCTTTTCTTAGACACCAAAATGAGAGCTTACTGGCTAAGGAGACGCAATGACAGGCCCGTCTCCGCCCACACGACCATGGTAGAGTGTTCCCTTGGGACTTTGAAGATTAGAAGAAACACTCACCGACGGTCGACATTGTGACTAGAAGAAAATATACACAATCGGCGTAGGTGATACGATGCGGATTGATAAATCCTTTGAAGAAATCACCCGAATTCTCGAACTGAAATAATTTAACCCTAGGCAATGGTCCTTTCACTGAATTAAAGTCTCCACTTACTAAGTGTACTCCACCGGCACCCGTTAAACAAACGGATACAAAAATCGTGACGAGTTGAGTGAGGCGAATCGATGACGAGGTCTTCAGAATGTTCAGGTACTGTAGAATATCCGGCACAGTCATCAGACGTAAGGCGCGAAGAAAGCGAAAACCTGAATCAGTAGTTTTTTATTTATAACCCGGCGCAGTACGATTTGGTCGGGGGGGGGGCATTTTGTGTTCGCTACTTCCTGCGAACCTCTTCTTTGCTTTACAAGAATTGACAGGTACTATTTACAAGAGATGCCAAGGGGTCTCTAAAAACTTTAACTAGTACTACTGCATAGCTTGACAAGACTCCACTTGATGGCTCGACACGTCGATGGGAGGCGGCAAAAGTGAAAGAATGTTTCCCTCCCCCAAACTGAATTTCGCCTAACCATTAATCACTAACC